AGTTCACTGTAGCACCAACAGTCTAAAGAAGGAAAACCGTGTGATCATTGCAATTGATGCAGAAGAAGCACTGGACAGGACTCAGTGCCTGTTTGTCACGAATGCTCAAGCAGCTGCCAGGGGCAGGAGGCGTCCTTGTGGTGGTGAAAAGCTGCACGCTGTTCCCCAGAGTCGGGAGCGAGGGAAGGACACCCACTCGGGCCTTGAACTCCTGCCCAGCCTTCACAGGGAGTTCCAGCCAGCGCAGGTGTCGAGGCAGAAGGCGCTCAGTTCACTAGTGGGGAGAGACAGCGTCCTGTGTGTGGACAGCGCGTCTGTCCGTGTCCCGGATCCCAAGGGGTGTGGAACAGATGTTCCAGAGTGGCCCCCGAGAGCACGTTGTGAGCATGGAAAGTCGTCCTGTTCTCCTGGACACGAGCAAGGGGCAGCGGAAGGCAAAGTGTGAAGAGGCCGCTTCTGGAGCCCTCCTCTCCACGAAGTAAACGCAGCAGAAGGTGCTCGCAGCCTCGTGTGCTGAAGACCCAGGACTCGCGCCTTTTGCAGACGCCATTAGTCTCGTTTTGGTTCCACCTGGGTGAAGTCTGAGGAGACTTGCATACCAGGGAGACTCCATGCCCAAACCAGCCTGCAGGGGGGTGAGCGCAGTCGGAGTGCCAGCAGGCTCTTTTTTTGTAGATGTAGACAAGCTGATTCTGAAACTTATACAAAAAGACGAATTGGAAGAGTCCAACAGTTTTGAAGATGGGCAATACAGTGGGAGGCAGCTGTGCTGCTGGATTTTAGGACTCCTGGAAATCGGAGCTGGGGAGCTGGCAGGGTGGAGTGGCCAGGCCGCATTCCCTGCAGCCCTCCTCGGCTTCCCATGGAGACCTGGCAGTCCCAGCATGGCTCCTCACGCTTCGCCTCCGCCCAGCACAGGGGTGGCGCCTGTTGGGCCCGGGCACAGCTTGCGGAGCTTCACCGCGCTGAGTGGGACAGCCCGTCTCGTCTCAGAAGGGCTGCCGGTGGTTTTGTTCCCATGAATTTCTTAAGACAGCTGAGCCTGGCTGCTGGGGTGGTGGGGGGGGGAGGCGGGTCCCACATGACCACACGCAGCAGCAGCCCCCCCACGAGGGGGAGTGGTCTGGATCCCAGTTGTGCCGCTGGCCACGTGAACCTGTGCAGGGGTTAAATCCCTAGAGGTAAAAAGTATAAAGCCATTTGTACACATTGTAGAAAAATAAAAATATGGTGGTTCATGAAGTATACTTTTTAATACCTTTATTTGTTCATATGTGGTGCTGAGGATCGAACCCAGGGCCTCTCATGTACTAGGCGAGCGCTCTACAGCTGAGCCACAACCCCAGCCCATTTATTAAG